CGCTGATGCGAGTCAGCCGTCCGTCCGTTTTTTTTGTACGGGCGGACGGCAACTGGTTAAAGTCTAGGTACACATCCATATATACAGGGCTGTAGGATTTAAAGTCTAGGTACACATCCATTTATACAGGGCTGCAGGATTTAAAGTCTAGGTACACATCCATATATACAGGCCTGTAGGATTTAAAGTCTAGGTACACATCCATATATACAGGGCTGCAGGATTTAAAGTGGTCCTTACCCTCCTTTTACTTAAAATTACATCAGCATGAAGCTCTGCATACTGATATGAAATCACCTGCAAACTGCAATATCTCACTAGACCTCGAGGGAAAGATATTTTTTCCCTTTCGCGTGTTCCATAAGGCAGACCCTGAGTTCCAGGAAGTAAAGGGAGATGGATTCATCTGCTCTTAGTGAAAATGGCCACCGTGGCAAGAATGGGGAGGAAAAGGAAAATGAGGTATGCAAAGAATACAAAGCCGGCAATTATCTATAAGAATATTATTACCATTTCTAAAGGTTGTCATTTTTAAAATCAGGGTGACGTTCCTTTTTAGGCACCTGAAAATGGTATTAAACAAGGATGGCAAACTGAGCATAGTTGCATTCACAGAAATGACTCCATTCACCCTCTTAGGCTGATTAAAGTTAGAAAAGAATTACTTTTTTAATCTATGACTGAGAATTTCATTTATTTGTACCACCGAGAAGATGATACAATACCTGTGTCATTTATTTCACTCCTGAACAATAGAAAAGTGTCACCAGCACACCATGAGTTGAAAAAGCCTAATATTTCATTGCCAATAGCTCTATCTCAAACTGACTGTATGAGTGGCTTACTATATCATCCCAACGCTTAAGGTAGAATTCGCATTGTGAGCCTTTGGGCTACTGACCCATACTGTGCAGTGGGACAGCTGTCAGATCAGCGAGCGGACGAGACGTCCCTGTACCCACACAGTGCAGTCATTTCGAGCACCCATCCTCACCAAGTGGGAATCCGGGTAAGGAGTGCGGTATGGTTCCTGTTTCTGTTTATTTATTTCACTCCTAAAAAGGTACCCATACACTTTACAACAAAAGTCTTGCGAGGGTTGTAAAGTACTTTAAAAAACGTACGATCTGCCCATCTTGGACAGGCAGATCGTACTTGCGATCATCGCAAGCCCGCCCCCCTGAGGGGCAGGCTTCCGACGACTGTAATGAGGGGCGGGCTTACCATGACTGCAAACGGGCGTGCGCAAACCGGCCCGTTCGGCAGTTGTCGAACCAGCAGGCCACTAACTCGCCGAGAATCGTACGATTCCCGGCGAGTTTTCTAGCATGCTGGTTCGACGGAAGACGTGCGACCGTACAGTAGAAACGGTCGCACGCCTTCCATACACTGCACGATTATCGTACGATCGCGAGATTTCCCGCGATTCTCGTACGAGAATCGTGCAGTGTATGGGCACCTTAACTCTGTTCAATAATTATCCAAATTAAAAAAAGCTTGGTCATTCGAAAAAGTCTTAGGGCCCGTTCACACCAGATGCGTTGTGGCTGCACTGGCCTCATCCTCCAGCACAACCCCAATGCACAGAAGGTATTCGAGTCATTTTAATAAAGTTCTACAAAAAAACATATTGGTGCATCAGCACTGTTACCTGTCAGCGCACATCAGCAGCAGTGTTCAGTGAACAGGCCCTAAAAAATAACAAAACTGGACAAGGAGAAGTGAATTTTTTTTGCAGCACTACAGAATATGTGAAACATGAACGTGCAATGGATACACTGCAGTGACTCCCCTTGACACCAATGCATTGTGCATGTGAATAAATCCAACACATTCCTGACAGCTCGAGTATAAAGCAATACAGAACAAATAGATATTGTTGCTCATGACTAGTGCTAGAGCCTGAAATAGATCTATCTATATGCATTCCATCAAATGGTAATTAGCGGAAAGTAACAGATTGCTATTTTACACTTGACAAGTCGGGAAACTTTCATGGCTTTGAAAGAATGAGAGCTAAAGGTCTGTGTTTAGACTTTAGTGAAGAGTAGCATGTTGCGTTTCAGCAAGCAGTAAATGTCATGAATGATATTAAATGTATACACATACAGCCAGCTGGCTTTAAAGGATATTTAAACACTCCCGTTTTTTTGCATATATCTACTGCTAGCGAGCTGTTTTTTCTTAAAAACAGCTCAAACGGCACTTTAAACTTACCCTGTGTTCCGTGCGCAGTCCCGTCCGAAAATGAGAAATTTCGCGAGCGGCCGCAAAGGATCTCATTTTCGGCAGGGACGCGATGAGGGACGCAAGGCAAGTCTATGGACGCGTGCACCCGCATGCAGACACCGCTGGATCGGAGGGACAGAGCAGTCAGCGCTGGATCGGAGGGACAGAGCAGTCAGCGCTGGATCGGAGAGCCGCCGCACCGCTGGAGAGAAGGCTGAAAACAGGAAAGAAGAAGAAGATCGGAAAAAGAGATCACTTAAGGTAAGTGCTAATATTAACATGGGGGTAGCGAAAACATTTTTTGCCTTTAATGTCACTTTAACTGCAAGTATATAATGTACATCACATTAGAGCATTCTCTTAGGCCTTGTTCACACCGAAAGCGCGTGCTTTCCAGAGCGGTAGCGCTGTTGGTCGAACAGAGCGAGCAGCCAATAAGCTGCCGGCTCTGCTGGGGTATTCTGAGACCAGCCGGCGGCTGCTGTCAGAATACAGAGAGGGGGATTTATCAAAACTGGAGCAGACAGTTTTGGTACTCGCTGATACCGAATACTAGGGATGCTCAGATACCAAGTACAGTACAGTTCCACAATACGCCCCCCCCCTTCCCATCAATGGAGAATGGCAACCATATGGCAGGTAGTTAACATTTCTCAGTTTACATCTTAAAAGGGACAGTACCTAAGTTTAATGAAAGAAACAGGAAAAAAGGGAGAAATAACACCGGGACCACCACAATCCCATGTCAGTGGGCCTAAATAAATTATTCCCACTTCCCCAATACAGGAGTTCTAGCCCAGCACTGTGCTGGAACTCCAGTGACAGGTGAGAGGGGAAGAGCACAGGTCACCCCTCTCACTGTCTACACGGAGCGGCAGGGTTACTTTTAACTCTGCCGCTCTGCTCACTGCATCGGCGGCGGAGGACGGAACCAGAGGAGAGAGTTAAGTGCAGGGGGGAGGGGAGGACGGACCGGCCGGCTGCAGACTTTTTACATGTGATCTTGGCGATCGCCGAGATCACATGTAAACGAACAATCGGCTTCCCTCACTCTACATTTAGTCCTGCTTGTGCAAAGCAGGACTAAATGTAGAGAGGACAACTTACCATCCGGCGCCCGCAACTTCCTCACAAGGACACCGCTGCCGCCCCTCTGTGCCCTGCCGCCCCACAGCCGGGCCTCGGTGGCCTTGTGGGGAATCCAGGCCTGAGTACAAGTACAGATACTTTTCCTGCTCCAAGACTAGACTAGAGAAAAATTCAAAAGTTAGGAGGCAGCTGCCATTTGTAAGGAGCACACGGAGCTCCTGGGATTTGTACATCTCTGTTTTATTGTATGAACTGGAGCAGACATAATATGGAGCAGCTGTACATGGCAACCAAACAGCTTCTCTCTTTCATTTTCAAATCTTAACTGAACAAACTGAAGAGAGAAGCTGATTGGTTGCCATGAACAACTGTTCCAGTTTTTGTCTGCTCCAGTTTTCATAAATTCCCCCCAATGTGTACAGCGGGAGATTCCTCAATCAAAGCTTGTAAGCATTAATAGAGGAACCTGCTCCATTTCCTTCATTCAGCTGGCAGGTTGAACAAAGAAAACAGAAACGTGTATACCCGACTTTAAATGCTTGGAGCCACTGATCCAAAACTGTGCATGCCGTCCTGGTTATCGGTCAGTGAAAGTACTCAGCACAACTCCCAGACAACTAACATCTTCAGCAGGGACTTAACAATGGCATCCTATGTATTTCTCTGAACAGGAACATCTCTGAATACTGCTGAAAGCAAACAACAAAACATAAGGAAAGCTATTTCATGAGCAGGCGTGGTGATCGCTTCTTCTTTAAAATCATCACTTTCAAGCTGCCATACCAGTGCATGCTGGGAGGCTGCACTTCAATACACAGTCAATGTATTTCTACCTCCGTCCCTTCTTCTTATACATAAAGGAGATCTCCATGTCATATATATGGAGTGGGAATCAAAGATATACATTGGAATCTTCAGGACTGTCCTCAGAGTCTGTGTCCCTGGAAATGATGGTCATGTGAGATTAGGACAGAGCTGGAGGAATCCCAGGAGCCAGAGAGACAATGCTCCTTAATATTTATAGATGGCACCCAGCATCTGAGGGTTTACCTAGTTGTCAATGGAGCCGACTCCTGGATTGGGCAGACTGGCTCCTGGATTGAGCAGACCGGCTCCTGGATTGGGCAGACCTGCTCCTGGATTGGGCAGACCTGCTCCTGGATTGGGCAGACCTGCTCCTGGATTGGGCAGACCTGCTCCTGGATTGGGCAGACCTGCTCCTGGATTGGGCAGACCGGCTCCTGGATTGGGCAGACTGGCTCCTGGATTGGGCAGACTGTCTCCTGGATTAGGCAGACTGGCTCCAGGATTCCAGATTCATTTGTCCATCCCTGGATTAGGACATTAGATTGTCAGCTCCTTGAGGACAGGGACTGTCAGCACTACATTAATGAATAAATAAGATCTAAAGTGTACAGCTGAGTTGCAATACATGAGACAAAGGGGGGGAATTAATAAAAACTGGAGCAGACAGAATGTGTAGCAGTTGCCCGTGACAACCAAACAGCATCTCTCTTCAGTGCCTGCTCCAGTGTCTATGACTGGATTCCCCTCATGTAAAGTGCCCCGGCGTTATTTACAAACACTGTCCATTATCTGATAACATTGTGTCCCCAGTCCTAAAACAAGCAGAGACCGGACAGTCAGCATCTCCTGGTCTACACCCCGGGAGTGGTACTCACAGCCCGTCTTCTCCATCAGCTCCCGGGTCACCGCAGAGCGAGTATGTACCAGCCCCATAGTGCTCTCCACCGAGGATGTCGTCCGACGATGTGTGTGCTGAGCTCGCAGTGACGAGATGAACACCGGCCGGGGTAGTTCCTCTCTATACTTCTCTCATGAGTCCAGGAAGCCTGCTGTACACACTGTCACTCGTCCCATGGGTCCCTGTGCCTGCCGACTTCTACCTGCTTCATCTATTACACAAGGCAGCTGTGCATGTTCGGGGAGGGGGAGCCATGACATGTCCATACTGGCTGCCTGTGACTGTGCTATATACAACACCACAAGGCAGGCTGTAGGGGGGCGTGAGCACATTATAATATCACATTGCATCAGGTCACACCTTCAGCTTTTTGTCAGTTTAAAGGCTGAGTTTACCTTTTAGACCGGGGGTGGGCAACTCTGGCCCTCGAGCTGTTGTGGAACTACAAGTCCCATGAGGCAGTGCGAGACTGACAGTTGCAGGCATGACTCCCAGCGGCATGTTGAGATTTGTGGTTAAAGAGTTATGAAACCCCCATTGTTTTTTTGCATATATCCACTGCTAGCAAAAACCTTTTCAAAGCGTTAAAACTTACCTGTGTTTTTCGCTGCATGCCCCCGTCCGAACATTCCTGTACCTTACATTCTGGTGCGGGCAGGGAGTGTGTCTGCTGTGCCATTGACATGAATGGCACAGACACACCCCTTCCCGCTCCAGAACGCAGCCCAGCCTGATCTATGTAATCCAAAGCGTTCCGAGCTGGAACCGCACCAGAACGCACTGGATATGGTGTGACAGAGCCCTCAAACCACTGGCGGAACTACCAGGGTTGCAGCGGTCGCAATTGCGACCGGGCCCTGGTAGTTCCGCCACTTGGGGGGGCCCAGCGAAGAAGTGCACTGCCCGAGGGCCAGGGGGGGCCCGTCACCTGGTGGCGTCACATGCGGGGGCCCGTGGGCCAAGCGAGATTCGGTCCGGCGCCAGCAATGACCGCGTCCCGTCCCCCCCCTCTCCCATTGCAGGTGGACTCTGCCGCCGGAAGCTCGTCTGCAAACAGCGTCGGGCAGAGGCGGAAGTACGGAATTTTGTTTTTTTAGCGGTAGTCCGGTCGAAATTTCGTCCAAAAACGAAATTTCGACCGGACTACGGCTAAAAACCGAAATTTCGTCCAAAAAACGAAATTTCAACCGGACTACCGCTAACGAATTTCGGAAAATCGGGAATTCGGATTCGTTTGCATATATTTCATTTTCAAATCTTAACAGAACAAGCTGAAGAGAGAAGCTGATTGGTTGCCATGCACATCTGCTCCAGATTCTGTCTGCTCCAGTTCTGATAAATTCCCCCCTGTGTGTTGGACGTGATGACTCACGGGTTCTTAGACCGCTGCAGCGGAGGGGAAGAGAGGCTCCAGGGACCGGTCTAACAGCCTGCCGGCTCCGCGGTTCAGGTGAGTCTCATTTTTTTATTTTAGCACCCAGACAACAAGGAGCACTTAAGCTTTGCAGTGCAGGGGTAGCCCCACTGCAAGGGTTAAGAGAAGTTTTGCCCAGAGTTCTTCTTTAAGTAATGTGATCAAATAACTTCAATGCTGTAACAGGATACACCCGGTTTTCAGTTCTTCCACTATTTCTGTAATCCATAAAGTCATGTTAATGACAGCAAGATAAGGTTCCCACTGTTATTTAGGAGCTACAGAAGAAAGCTGCTCCTGTATTATATACGTAGGGAGGATTTTTCCTGACATTAGATATGCAGTTGCAGTTTATTTGCCATAAGCACAGACCTTATCTTTATGAGGAATGTTCAAGGTATTGTAACTTTTGTAGTGGGCATAAAAGACTTGTTTTCAATTCTAAGTGCACACCAGACACACATTCCATGATTAAAAGTTGTGTTTTAAAGGAATATAGATGTGGTGAACACTGAGGCTGGTCACAAGTAGTAGGTGATCTTTTCAACCACACGTTGGAGAGGAGAGATTTCTCCTCTTGAGTTAGGCCTTGTTCACACCAAATGCAGACCAGATCTGCATGAGTTTCTGCACACGCAGTGGAGTGGGTTGTGCCGCGTTTTTTGCAGCATTTTTTATGCGTTCCGGGCCGTTTTTGGTTAAAAAAGAAAAACATTTTTTGTTTAGAATGGGCTTTTACTGCGTTCCAGGGCGTTTGCATGTGTTTTGATGTGTTTGCATGCGTTCCAGAGCAAGTAAAATAGGGCTTGCTGCAGTTTTTTTACATGCTCTGGAACTGCACGCTGCAGTGTGAACTAGAGCCCAAAATACCATTGGAATACATTGGACGCAGTTTTGATCCGGTCTGTAACTGCTCTGCTCTGCTCCTGGAACGCGCTTGGTGTGAACAAGGCCTTACACATAGCAGGGAAGGTCCAACATACAGTCAAGTCCTGTCAGACGTCATCCAAAGCGAATAAATCCACTTTGAGTAAGGTGTATCTTTAATGAGTATATAGTTGTTGGTTTGTATACCTGCAAGTAATTGGAAGTTTTTATATTGATATACAGAAGGCTGATACAACTTGGTACAAATTTGACCTTCAAAAGAGAGCAGTGTTTTTGGCACACATCAGTGTTATCTGCAGTAGAATGATTGGAATTGTATGAGAGATAAATGAAGAAGAGATTCTTAGCTGGAAGCCAAGACTGCAGACAAATGTAAAAAGATTAAATAGGGACTGGAGGAGCTACTTATTAAATGCCAATTGGCAATTGTTGTAGCATGAATAACATATGAGAAACTTACGTGTCTATAAATCTGTATGATAGATATGAAGATCCAGTGTAAAAATTAGAGGCTTTCTGACCTATTACACTCTGATGAGGGCTCAAGCAATTATAAGTATTTTTCTTCCCTTAGCTCCATGAACGAGCAATTTAGATCCCCACTTTCCTAATAAGCCCTTTCCGAAAGATGAAGCCCTGCACCAATGTAGAGCCTGCACCACTAAGAAGAAGCCCTCCCCCAATGTAGAGGCTCCACCACCAAGAAAAAACCCTGCCCCAACCTAGAGGCTCCATCACCAAGAAGAAGCTCTGCCCCAACCTAGAGGCTCCATCACTAAGATGAAGCTCTGCCCCAACGTAGAGGCTCCACCACCAACAAGAAACCCTGTCCGTAGAAGCTCCACCACCAAGAAAAAGCCCTGTCCTAACATAGAAGCTCCACCATCGAGAAGAAAGCCTGTCCCAACGTAGAAGCTCCATCACCAAAAAGAAGCCTTGCCCCAAAGTAGAGGCGCCACCACCAAGAGGAAGCTCCATCACCAAGAAGAAACCTTGTCCTTAAGCATTGTGGCTCTACCTGTATATGCAACAAGAGCTATAATACAAAGCCTCAAAAAAAGTCTTGCCAGGGCCTCAGAATTCCAATAGGCAGTAAGGCCTAGGAAGTAGGGTGAGGAATTTTTCTCATGCAGCTCTTAGAAGGCTGCATCTGAAACATTTTTTTTCTTTTTCTCATTGCACAAACAGCAAACAATTGTTACTTTTTTGGCTATTATTATTTCTGTTTGGTATTGATGACTCAGTACATATACAACTAACAATGTTGTTGGTACACATGGTAAAGGAAAAAAATACAGGTGATCCTCGGAAAAAGGTTATAATTCAGCAAACCTGCAGTAGGACAATATGGTCTAGCCCTAAAACCTACTGTTTCATGCTTGATAGTTCATGCTGCTTCTATATTATCATAGACCTGTTTGCTTTGTGGTATGACACATACACACACACTCTCTCTCTCTCTCTATTGCCAAGTATTGGGACACCTGCCTTTACACGCATATGAACTTTAGTGGCATCCCAGTCTTAGTCCGTAGGGTTCAATGTTTAGTTGGCCCACCTTTTGCCGCCATAAGACCTTCAACTCTTCTGGGAAGGCGTCCACAAGGTTTAGGAGTGTGTCTATGGGAATGTTTAACCGTTCTTCCAGAAGCGCATTTGTGAGGTCAGGCACTGAAGTTTGACAAGAAGGCCTGGCTCGCAGTCTCCACTCTAATCCATCCCAAAGTTGTTCTATCGGGTTGAGGTCCCGACTCTGCATGCCAGTCAAGTTCCTCCACCCCAAACTCACTCATCCATGTCTTTGTGGAGCTTGCTTCGTGCACTGGTGTGCAGTCATGTTGGAACAGGAAGGGGCCATCCCCAAACTGTTCCCACAAAGTTGGGAGCATGAAATTGTCCAAAATGTCTTGGTATGCTGATGCCTTAAGCGTTCCCTTCACTGGAACTAAGGAGCCAAACCTGACCCCTGAAAAATAACCCCACATCATAATCCCCCCACCAAACTTTACACTTGGCACAATGCAGTCAGGCAAGTACCGTTCTCCTGGCAATCGCCAAACCCAGACACGTCCATTGGATTGCCAGACAGAGAAGCGTGATTTGTCACTCCAGAGAACACGTCTCCATTTCTCTAGAGTACAGTGGCGGTGTGCTTTACACCACTGCATCCGGCGCTTTGCATTGCACTTGGTGATGTAAGACTTGGATGCAGCTGCTCGGCCGTGGAAACCCATTCCATGAAGCTCTCTACGCACTGTTGTTGTGCCAATCTGAAGGCCACACAAAGTTTGGAGGTCTGTAGCTATTGACTCTGCAGACAGTTGGCGACTTCTGCGCACTGTGCGCTTCATCATGCGCTGACCCTGCTCTGTCATTTTACGTGGCCTACCACTTCATGGCTGAGTTGCTGTTGTTCCCAGTTGCTTCCACTTTGTTATAATACCACTAACAGTTGACCGCGGAATATTTAGTAGCAAGGAAATTTCACGGATGGACTTATTACACGGATGGCAATACTTGATTTTATACACCTGTGGCCATGGAGGTGATTGGAACACCTGAATCCAATGATTTGGAGAGGGGTGTCCCAATACTTTTGGCAATATAGTGTATTTGTAATACTGGCCTGATTAATTTCTTTCTTCTTTAAGTAGCAATAGTTCATTGAGTTTGCTTCAAATCAATTAAATTATGTTAAGCAATTCCATTAAATCAGTTAATGAAATGAGAT